AGGATGATTCAAACAACAAAGCTGGCTGAATGTGGAGCCAATCAATGTGTGGTTGGTCTGTTGCGAACAGTGCCACCAAGTGGCAGTTTAATACAGCACTATTCAGTTTGGTTCATAATCACTGAACTAGGAGGCATGGATGCTAAATTCCAGTTTTTTTTCATACAGGACATAGTTCACAATTTCCTAGTTATAATTGCACTCAGCAGGTGTTGAAATATCATGTGTAGTGTACCAGGCACTTGAGCTAGCTTAGCTAAACTATCTTATACATCAAATATTAACAGTGTGATGGATGCTCTGAAATGTTATATGTGCTGACAGCGCACTGAATAAAAAGCTTTGTATTAATGGTCAGAGGTTATATAGTTTAATGATCTGGAGTCATTAGTGTACCAACAGATCCCATAGCAATTCTGGCTCTGTGTCACTCAGATGCCATGGGAAGCACCCGCTCAAAGACACTGTTTCTGCAAATATGTCCCACAGTGTTAGTATTAGCTGCAATATCAAAAAAGGATGGAATTCAAACTGCAGTTTCACTTTAATAACAATACAAATTGTCTACTGTAACATTCAGGAAGCTCACACACAACTTGTAATGGCGAGAAAATTAGGATTTATACTGTTCTATATTTAGAAGACGGCTTTCTTTCTGTTGTCTTCCTTCTGTTACATTTTGTTCAAAAGTCATTTAAAATGATTTATAGTTGCATTTTCTTGACATGTATTTCCTTGCAGTGCTGACAATAACGTTCACTTAATGCTACAAAAATGAATGGAGGGTGACTTGGTTACACAATTATGAAATGTCACACGCTGATGCCTGAATCCCTTGTCCATGAATAAGGAAACACTTACACACTTCTTCAAAAGTCTGGGATTTATTCAAAAATGATTCTCACAGTCCATGTCCAAGCAACAGTCAACCATGTTTTTGGTTTTTTGCTTTTTAACCATGGCCACAGTTTATTTGTTGCCTTCATCATGTAGCTTTTGTTTCCTAAACGCTATACAGTATGACTCATTTATGTAACTGTATGAACAAATCACTGTCTTTTTAAAAAAATTAATGATTCCCCTTTTCCTCAACTTGCTTAGGTATGAAGACTTGGCCAGGTTTCCTCTTCAGAAGACAAAGGCGCTCTACAGTTTCCTGGCTCTGGTTTTGAACCACAGTGTGGAGGACTGGACCATCAACAACACCCGGGGCAGCAGTGATATGTCATCCCGGCAGAAGTTCACCACAGTTCGGGACTCTGCAGCTAATGCAGAGAACTGGCGGGTGAAGCTATCTTTTGACATGGTGGTTTACACTCAGTCTGCCTGCCAACTCCTTGGATACAAGAAAGTGTTCCACCCCAGAGAACTGAGGAACCTCTCCCACTCTCTTGTGGAGGACAGGACGTTCCTCCCATTTTTTTAAGTGATGACTGATGTGGATTTCCTCACCATGTCTGTAGTGGAGGAAGGGCTATGTCCATCAGTCTGCTCAAAGCTCAAAGTTCTATAAAAGTCTGAAAGTCAAACTGCCTCTTATTTATTTATGCATCCAACCATCCATCCCCCTTGCAACCAACTACAATCCCATTTCCGAAGTCACTGGAATCTTTCAATAAGAGATTGGTTTACTTGCAGCAGGGAGACAAGTCAGCATGAGCTTACAGAATTGTCTGAATGAGCTTAGTCTAAACATCACAATATATAGAAGAAAGGGAACTTCCTGAAGACGCAACCCAGGCGTCAATCAAGTTATAAAGTAGATTTAAAACAACAAAAGGAAGTTGAAGGGGGTTGCCCTGATAACCCCTTAGACACTAAACAAGCTGTTGCGCCTGTTTTATCTTCATAGTTTATGGCAGGCACAGTTTATGGCTGGCTTCCTTTAAGTCTGGAGCGCCATTTGGTTGAACAACACACAAAGTACTAAAACAAAGATGAAACATGTCCTTCAGTTCACACAGGCAGTGTCTCACAGGTCCCTGTGGTCTGTTCTGAAAATTAAAATCCATTGTATCGCACATGTTGGTTAATATATTGATTAAAACACAGTTTAAAACATACTTAATAATGTCATTTTCATGACATTTCCCTCCTGATTAAACTTTTTAGAATCACTTTATTAACAACATAATTCTTAATCTTGTTCATCCCAGGATCTCATTGTTTAAATACTCCCTTTCAGGTTTTCATTAAAACAAGTCATACATGGTTCACTCAGATCAGAATTAGGAAAGTCTCTTTTCAAAACCCAATTGTCCAGTTCGTAGTGATCATCTTCTCGTTTTTCCTTGTCACGGATCTGCCTGTACATTGTCTTAGTCAGAGCAGTGTCTATCAGTCCCACCATATATACTCAAATATATACACCAAATATATATTCATTTTAAATGTGATCCCATCAACAGGTTTCAATAAAGCTGGGGCAGGGGCATGTTTACCACTGTGCTGCATTACCTCTTCTATTGACAATTCATTATAAGGATTTGGGAAAGCTTGCTTGATACAGGATTTAATCTGCTTAACAGTTTGCGGTAACCTTTGTCATATTTTTCATTCATAATGCACCAAATATTTTTCAGTGGGTGGCAGGTCTGGACTACTTAGCACCCAGACCCTTATTACTGAGTCATGCTGTTGTAATATGTGCAGAATGTGGTTTGGCATCGTCTTGCTGAAATAAGCAGATGTCATCTGGATGGCAGTGGATGTTGCTCCAAAACCTGCACATATTTTTCAGCATTAATGATACAGTATGCCCTCATAACCCCTTTCCACCACCTGGTACTGGCTCAACTTGTTATGGTTTGTCCCCCTCGCCAGGAGGGTGAGGGAGAACTAGGGGTAGGACTCAAGATTGCTGACCCAGGTGCTAGTACAAAACAAAAGGTTTAATTTCAAACAACACAACAAAGCAACATAACAGTGTCCAGAATACATACAAACGAAGGGGAGTGATGACGACGGAGACCAGGAACAGGTGCACACACAAACCAATGGTAGAAAACAGGGTAAGTATTGTCCAAAAAGCAAAGCTGCGGAGACGAATCAAAAACTATGTGTGTGTAGTGGGAATAGCGCATGTAGTGTCTAAGGAGTCAAGCCAAAACGCACAGTAACTGTCAGCGTAGCATTCCAATAAGACATACATAACACGGCAATATGTGGGCACGGAGAAGGTTAGTGTGTGCGTGTAGTGTAGCGCCTATGTAGTGTGAATGGAGTCAAGCCAAAACGCAACAGTAACTGTCAGCGTAGCATTCCATTAGTACACATACATTCAACGGCGCGGTGTAGTGCAAAGTATCAGTAGCTAATGTTAGCTATGTACGATAATGTTCCGGCCATGGCAGAGCGTCTGCCAGGGGTTTAAATATGGCGAAGGTAATAATCAATCGGGATGCACCCCAGCTGTGTGCGCCGACAAACCAGCCACCAATCACTGCAACGCAACACAGCTGAGGCGCAGAGCCCACAAAACGGAGAAAACAGAGACAAAAAAGGAGGAGAGGCAGCGGCCCTGACACAACTTGAATCAACTCTACTCACTTTTGGTACCAGGTCCTTTTTTTTCCCACTGCAGATAGTCCCCCAGCAGTGTAGTTGGTTGTCACAATGACGCCGCATAAAATTTGACTGAAGTCACTGGCCCATGGTGGTAGCAGGGCAGGCTCAAAGCTGTTACAGTGTTCATCCTAGGGACTGTTACTATTCCATCTTAAAGCTTTGTTTTTCAGGAGAAAATAACCATCTAGTTTTCGAATATATGGTCAGTCTATCCAAGTAAAGTCAATTACATATTTTTGGAAATGTGGTAACTCGCTAACGTGCCAGCTAGCTAGCTCTACTTAGCAGGCCTAGCTGTAGCCATTGTGTTTGTATTATTACATTCAGTAACCTATGGACTGCGTGATAAGATATGTGGCGTGGTGGTTCATCTAATATAACAGTTATATCCTAATTGTAACTCTCACCATAAATTTTATTCTCTAACACTCGTGAGAGTGAAGTGGCAGCTACTATGGAAAAACAAATAAGATGAGTAGAGTTGAGTGGAAAAGGGGCTATAGATGCTGTGTGCTGATAAACTGGATGGTCCTTCTCCCTTCTCTTTAGTCTGAAAGATGCAATGTCCATGACTTCCAAAATAAATTTTGGCTCATCAGACCACAGACTGTTTCCAGTTCATCTCAGTCCATCTCAGTTTAACAAGATGGCGCTGACAAGTATGGCTGCCTTGTGTACTCATGCTCTCTTGTGTTTGTTGTTTTTCTTTGTTTTCTCAGTCTTTTGCAACCCATCCTGGATTACTTTCACCAGAGAAGCACTGTTACACATCGGACAACTCACACCACACCACCTTTCTCCAGCTTTTCTGAACGATAAATGCTGTGTGGACATTCTGATCGGCAATGCAGCTGCAATTTACGGGACCTGGAGGAAGCACCGATGAGGCAAACGAGCGCCTTAGTCAGGCTACGCCGGAGAGGGACCCGGACTCCCCTCCCATCCATCCACCTAGCGAATGTCCGCTCCCTAGTCAATAAGATGGATGAACTCCTTCTCGTCATTAGGACTAACTGACTTTGCACACTCTGCTGCCTTATGCTTCACGGAGAGTTGGCTCAGCGACTCCATCCAAGTACCGGGCTTCCAGGTGTACAGAGCGGATTGTGTAACAGAGGGGGAATCTGTCTCTACATAAATGAAGATTGGTGCACAGATGTCATGGTGCTGCAGAGGACACATACATGTACAGGTGACAGTAGTGCGGTGGGTAGAGTAGTCTCCCAACCGGAAGGTTGAAGGTTCGAATCTCAGTGCCTACAGTTCACATATGAAGTGTTCTTGAGCAAGAACTCCCCCATTACCCATGATGGCAGTGCATATGCATGCAACGGCCTGGGGCCCTCGGCTCCATAATTTCGTTGTACGTGTTACAATGACAAAAAATAAAAGCTTCTTCTTCTAACATGAACTTGGAGTCTCTCTTTATCAACTACAAACCTTTTTTATTCTCCTCGAGCATTTAATTCTTTCATTCTAATTGGAGTGTACATAAGACCGCAGGCCCACACTGGCGCACTACAGCTCCTGGCCGAATCGATAACTAGCAGGGAGCTAGAACATCCTGACTCCCAACTCATTGTTCTAGGGGACTTTAACAGAGCAAATCTCTTCCAAGAACTGCCAAAATACAGACATTACATTACCTGTCCCACTAAAATCACACTGGACCACTGCTACAAAACAATAAAAGACGCTTATCACTCTATCCCTCGCGCAGCCCTCGGACTCTCAGATCACTGTATGGTCCACCTTATTCCAACCTACAGGCACAAACTTAAAGCTGTGAAGCCTGTGGTCAAAACAGTGAAGAGTTGGACTGAGCAGGCTAAGTCAGAGCTACAATCCTGCTTTGACTGTGATCACAGCCTTCTGACTGTGATCCTCAGTACTGGTTTTCAGCCTTATCCCCTGATTACAGAGATTTCTCTTTCTATCTTTTAATAATATTATGCAGTGTAGATAATGGAAAAACCCAAAATCTTTGCAGTCTTAAACTGAGGAAGCAAATTCCTTGTGTGTAACATACTTGGCCAAGAAAGGTGATTGTCAGGTTTGCCGGGTGGCACCTTTCCTCTCTTTTTTTCCTCGCACTAGTCAGCTCCCTTGCACTGATTACTTGATTAGACACACCTGCCCCGATTCACTGATACTGACCAGCTGCGCCTCGTTAGTCTCCCTCCTTATTTATACACGGCTCACTGTTCACTCCCCTGCCAGTTCTTTCTCAGTTCTTCAGGCACGTTACTATGCTCATTTGTTTCTTTGCGCCAAGTACGTCCGCTGCCTTCGTTTTGCTTTTTTTCGTCCGTGTTAGCGCTAGTCTCTATCCTGCCCGGCCGTCACTGGTTCTCCTCCTCCCTGGACCACTACTTTGGACCCTAGTTTACCTCAACTCCACCAGCCACTGCCTTACAGGTCGATGCACAGTCTCCATTAATCTGTTTATCTGTTGTTCTCTACTCTCAGCCATCATCAACTCCACCCCGACCAGCCCAGGAGTGAATCCACCCTCCGCAGCCCGGCCCGTCATCTCTTCATTGACTGTTTTCCTGCTACTGCTGATTGACACCCGGTCCTCTCACTCCTCCTCATTACCTGTATATATATATTATCACTGTTTGCACTGTAAATAAACCCCACTGCTTGCACTGACGTCAGCCATCTGGGTCCGTTAATTATTCCGCTCGCTCATCTGTGTGTCGAGCGATTGTAACAGTAGTGTATTGTGTACGTGTATACACTTAGCTCTAGACTCCACCTCGCTCCTTGACTACGTTCACTTCATTACACTTTTACTCAATGAGTCTATTCAATAGTATTCCTGATATACAATTTTACTCTGTTAGGGACAGAAAATGTCCGATCTGTGGTA